ACAGTGCAGCATGTGAGCCTGACACGTTAACCACTCGGCCACATTGCCACGAGTGTCCTTTGGGTAACAGGGCAGATGTGAATTTCAAGGAAGGCTTGGCATTTTCGCATATCACATCCTTTGGAGGGGTTGTCGATGAAGCAAAGTTATATTTTCAACAATAATTGACTACATTACTTATTTTTTCGTTTTTATAAGTAGAGTTTTCAGACAAAGACAAATCCATTGTCGCATGTTAATGTGATCACTCTAAGAACCTTCTCACCATTCACTGTCATAGCAACTGGAGGTCTAGCCAACTTTGAGAGATTCCTCTAGAATCCCTTTTTCTTCATATTTATAGCCTTTTTCGTATGCATGCTTTTTGCCTCACTTTTTACACGATCCCCTCTTTTGACAAGCTTAATAGCTTGTTTATTGGAAAAGAAAACCTAGCCTCGGCACATTTTATGATTAATTATCGTTCCTATTTATCATTTTAGCTGGCAAATATTATTCATGTTCTTATTCAAGATCTTTTGCTAGTTTCGACACCTACTCAATAGGTGGATTGATTGTAAGAGTAAACCTAAATTTGCCTTATTGTCAAAATGCTCACTAGAAATGTAATTTGACTTGTCTTGAAATTGGCATCCTCCCTGTCACCCTCTGGCAGCCTTGGCTTTGTGGTGCTAACTCTTGACAAACACAATCGTGTGCTGAATCCCTTTAGAACGGCTACTGTGACGATGAGGCGAGGTTTAGCCTAAAGTCCAGTCTCTTTAAGAAAGCATCTATTGGCAACGTGATCTATTCTAATAATTTAATTATGGGAAATTTAACTTTTGGTCATACATAATCTCGACTGATCAAAGGTGACTTATGTTCGTAATTACTCCATTTTCTTCGTACCTTTAGGAGACGCAATTTGTGGCACTTTGCTATTTGACCGGCGAATGTAACTACGGCGGCCGCGTTACTGACGAGTGGGACCGGCGTACGTTGAAGACGATTCTGAGCAAGTTTTACCGCAAAGACATCGTGGAGAATGAGAACTACAAATTTGACGATAGTGGCATGTATTATGCACCCCCGACACAGCATGTAAGCATCCTCTTTAATCTTTTTACAGCACTCCACGTCATGTTAATGACTCAGCGGTCGCCTTATTGTGTCCTCATTTTCTGTCTAAGTTACCGTAGTTGATAAATAGGCAAATTGACGTCTTGTTTAGGCAAACGTGATGGCACCAAAACACTTACCTGCTGCAATATATAAGCTACCTAAATCACGGGAATATAATCGTAAAATGCCTCCTGCTCAGTCGTAAAGAGAACATCTAAAAGCACCTTTGCTGTGCAAGTTTCTGCTTACTTGATTGCTGCAGTCGACTTGAAGCTTACTTGGAACTCGGTCTATGATAGGCATAGCAGTTCAACTCTCCATCAGAAAATATAGAGTTTTCGCCACTTGATTTCATTTTAAGGCAAACTTTCTTGGGATCACTTTAACTGGGAATCAGGTGAACGGGATGGCCTTAAATGGGATCCAAAGGCCTCTGGTTTGCACTGGAGCTTCAAGCGACTGACCGCTCCACATTTTGACTGGTTTTAGACGTTTCTCTCATTTCCCCGTCTACGAAAAGTGATAATGAAGATTATGAATTAGCTATGACAAATTATGCCTAGAATATAGAAACATCATTTCTATCTCT